TCAAGGACAACTTCATGTGGACGTACATGAGAAATCATAGGACAAATAGCCAACAAATGCAACCTTGCTCGAGGTTTCTAGCTATCAACAGCACAACTAGAAAAAAAATTTTGCCTGAACAATAAAACATTGGACAAGGACAAGCAGCACATTCTATCCATAAATTAAGATAGTCAACATTATATATCTCCATATGAATCCTTTGAAGTAACATATTGACATAACAGTTTTCATTCCATCTACTATCAGAAACAAAAAATAAATAAACTAAAAACAACGAAAATGACTTACCTGGTTCATCTCAGAGACGAGCTGATTCAGTATCTTCAAACCAATGCCATAATGTTCTGAAGTTCCCTGATGAAACAAAGTGCCAATAAGAAAAAAATGTTGGCAAACTTTACAAACTAACAATGAGGAATGCAAGTCATGCTAAACAGGACAACATTTATATGAGATATTGATAAAGTTGAATGATTCAGGATACTGTTCTGAACAGGCAGCAATGTTTGCAAATAACAGACAGGTTAAAAACATGAATATTGACTACAAGGTGCAAATATCAGTAAGCAAATCAAACCAAGACAATTATGCCATGCACAAAGAAAATGCATAGCAGGTTCAACATTGGAATTCAAATTTCTGACGCAAGACGGAAGTAAGAAGGCTAAAACCAATGAAGCCTGAGACTTCTCAATCACACATATCACATAATGCATGTAGCAAATGTGCCAGTACAATCCACAGCATTAAACAAAAAACCAACATTAAATCTTAAACAAATATGCAGTGATGTATTCATGTGCATGCCATAATGTACTTGATTGTTACTTTTAATACATTACTCTTTGCTTCCGGAATAACTTAAATGTTTATAACAAAATGCACGATTTTCCTCTGGCAACATAAAACAATTTCATCGAGAATGTACTTGATTGTTACTTTTAATACATTACTCTTTGATTACAGAATAACTTATATGTCTATAACAAAATGTATGATTTCCACTAGCAATATAAAACAAGTTCATCAACAATAGTGTCAAATTGCAAAGAGGCTGTTTGACCCATAACCTAAAGGTCACGTGTTAGTGAGAGAAGCTCCAGCTTCTCTCTAACCTTGGTGTTTTCAAATTTCGAATTACAATAGCCCAGGCGTCTTTTGAAAAATTTTCTCTCTCCTCCGACATCCACCCATTGTCCGCTGCCACCGACAGCCGTCCGCTGCCGCCGCCGCCATACTCCGACCACCGTTTGAAGCTTTTTTCTCCTGGGAAGTTCACCGACTCAAGGTGATTCCAAATCTGGCTTTAGATTTGCGATTGAGACATTCAATTGACGCAGATCTGCTCGAAGTTCACCGTCGATTTACGCCTCTTCCCGCCGCTAGTGGTCGTCACCGCCTCACCACCGGACTCAGCTTCTTCTCGCGACCATAACTCCCTTTCCTAGTGTCGAAAATCAGTTCTATTTCCAGTGTACTGGTTCGGTGAAATCTTACCCTATCCAAGCTGTCTGTTTTTCCAGTTAATCCTCTTCCCAACTTCTCAGTTCTATCCATCTGGTTCGGTGAAATCTTACACTATCCTCCAAGCTGTCTGTTTTTCCAGTAAATCATCTTTCCCAGATCTCTCCATGGAACCTCTACGCTCGTCTAAGCACAGGCGTACTAGTGGTTTAGCTGCAACAACTGCGGCAGGTGCAGCGTCTGTGAACTCCATTAGTACTTTCTCTGGACCTGACAATGCAATCAATTTTTCATTTTCCGGCAAGGAAAAACGTGAGAGGGAGAGTGAAAAGGAAAGGACAAAGCTCCGAAGACGGAACAGGCGAGCCTTCACTAGACGTATGTTGGCCGATTGCGGCAGTTTGGTAATTTCCATCTTTCAGAGCGTTCTAATATGAACGATGTACTGGTCGCCTTGGCCCGTGAGGCAGGTTGGACAGTTGAGGCCGACGGCACTACCTTCAGGCAATCGCCTTCGCCCCAAAAGCATCAAAATTCAAGAGTATTTTCAGCGAGGTTGGGTGATAGTCCTTTATCAACCGGGCGTTTGAAAATTGCTCTGCTAAAGCTACTTCAGACTATCACCCTTCTGTTGGTAGGATTGATGACAATGGACTGTCTTCTTCTCAAGGAGGGAAACAAAGCTCGGAACTAATTCTGTAGTGCAGACAACACCAACTTTACCTATCGCTGATATTGTTCAGGATGGAACCAAGGAGAGCTTCATGAAAGGGTACTCTTATGAAAAGTTTTCCGAAGTAACGAAAGGAGAAAAAATGAGTTTCAAAATTGGTCGAAGGATGGTCATCCAAGATCGGAAATGGGATCAGAAATGGTTGTTTCACGATTTTTATCGAAAACCTTCCAGAGATGATCCATTGGAAGAGACTTGGGTTTATTTTTGGCACACATGGTCATGTTATTGATGCCTTCATTCCTAAAAAAGAAACTCGAAAGGGTCCGTTTTGGGTTTATTCGGTATGCAACTATTGAAGAAGCAAGGAGAGCGATCTCAAAAATGAATGGCTCTCGTATCGATGGCAGCAAAGTTGGCGTTTCTTATGCTAAATTCAAACCTCGACATTCCTATTGGAGGAAGTCCTCGTTAGGTGTTCTTCGCAAGTCCGGGATAGAAGATGATTCGAGGAGGAATCATTATAAAGTTGAAGGTGTTATAGATGAAGAAAAACTTCAGGTGTTGAGCAATTGTCTAGTGGGGAGGTGCAAGGACTTTGTCAAAATTGGTCATCTCGCTAGACAAATGCAAGCGAAGGGCCTCACTGGCTTTACCTTAATGAGAGCTGCTGGTAATGCGATTTTAATGATTTTCGAAGACAATGCTTCATTGAGAAGTGTGAAGAACAATAAATCAAATATTCTCGCAGAGTGGTTCTCCATAGTCGAAGCTTGGTCAGAGAGTTTGGTAATGGAGTGTCGTCGAGTATGGTTAGTTTGCGAGGGTGTTCCTTTTCACGCATGGAATTGGGATACTTTCAAGAACATTGTTGATAAGTGGGGTTTATTACTAGCTATCGACGAAAGTTGTCAGTCTCCATCATCTTTTGATCGGGCAAAAATTCAAGTCCTCATAAAGGCTGATGCGAGAATTGATGCGATGGTGGAATTGAAGGTTGGTGACAACTTCTTCAAGGTCATGGTGCATGAGATAGAGCCTTCATTCAAACCAAACTCTTGGGCTCCTGAAGAATACGAGTCTCATTAGATCTTGTCTCTTCAATTGTGGTTTTGTTTTTATCTATATGGTTGTAGGTATTGCTTTTAATTTGTATTATGTTCTGTTGCGTTGTTTTAATCCTACTGCTAGTGGCGTAATTAGAAGGTGATTAGATTGTGGCTTTGGATGAGGTTATATAGGGTTAAGGTGTTTGTTGTAATAGTGTACATCACCATGAGAGGATATTTCGTGGTGTCTTTTATATCGGGTATTATTATCAATAAAATTTGAGGTACTCTTTTCTTCCTTCCAATGTTCGTTAACATACTTTTAGTATGTGAACGAATACGAAGGGAGTTTTTAATGAGACCTCCAACTTCTATCAAAAAAAACAATAGTGTCAAATTACAATCATTTATCACAATATTGATTTCTCCCTTTTGCTTTCAACTTATAGAAATCTTTGTTAAAAGTAAAACTAAAAGGATAATCTAAAACACAGAAAAATCACCTGGCTCAAGAAATTAGTTGACTCTTTAACCACATCACGGAATCTTTCATCATCGAACCATCCAAATTTCGTGACTCGGCATAACAATTGAATTAAAGATGCAGTGACAAACGGCTGCAATTTTGGTCCCCTAGTCGCCAAATAGTTGAAAATATAACTCCCTAAAAAATCAAAACAAACAAAAACAAATCAAATCTCGTTTTAGGGAAAAAAAATATGCAAACTGCAAAAAAGGAAAATGAAAGAAACACTCAACATACAGATATCGAGGCGAAGATTCAAAGCCAGGCTATGATCAGTGACTTGTTTCAAAAGACTAGAGCTAGCAAGCATCAAAGCATAAGGAGTCAAAGCATTCTCAAGGATGAATTGGCATTGCGAAATGTAATCCGTGTTAACCGAGAAGCATTTCAAAGTGTTCTCCGCGTGAGCTCTCTCCGCCGAGTCCTGCGAGTTGTACAGCCTCTCGCATAATGCTTCTAACTGCGCCAAGTTCTCCATTACCTTGATTACCTGAACACAACCAAAAACAAACGTTAAAAACAGAGAAATCAAATCGATTCGTTCATTTCAAACAAAAAACGATAATAGGCAGATGATATTGATCACAGTTTACCTTGTTTGGATCGCGATAGGAAGATCTAGAAAGCGGCGATTCAGTGGAATTAAGAAGAAAACGGAAATATTATACCCGGAAGATATCGAAGAAGGAAAAGGAGGGTTTGGTTTTTCTACGATCGGAGGGAGGAATCAGCAATGCGTTTTTTTCCATTTTATTTTTTTCTGGGTTTTTTGGATTTTTGGGTTTGTGGAATCTTCCTGATACAAGTGTCGGTTTACCTTCGTTTTCTGACCGTTCGATTTGATTACTCGTCACTACATCGAAAGGCGGATGTTTTATAATCAAATATATACTTCTTGAAATATTTAAAATTTATGTGTGAATTATTATTCAATACATTGATAATTTAAATACGAGTAAAATATTTCATATATCGATTAGGTTTTGTAGACACCCATTTTTGTTCGAGTTTTAAAAAATATTATTTACTTATTTATTATTATTATTATTATTTATAGGCCCCATATTCAACCCCTACCATTCTACTAAATCCATAAAAATCCAGCTAGTACAATTAAATTCAATCGAACGTGGACCTCCCTGGAACGTGCGCACCCACCACCTCACACGTTCAGTTCAACTAACCTCACATGTTTACTCTGGATTAGTGCCTTGCTTATCATTTAAGTCAACTTTAAGTTGGAGATAGAGGGGGAGGACGGATAAGGAAAAAACCAGAAAAGAAAATGGTTGCTGGCAAGTTCCTGGTTCGCCACGACTACTCAACATTTACCTCGATTATGACACCGACAATGGTTTTGGAAGTGTTTCAGTTCCAGTTATTCTCCCTCACTTCAATTCCTCTCGATGAGCAAAAGATCGTCATGGAATATAACGACCATATCGTATCAGACAACTCCAATCTGGCCGCCGTTTCGGAGAAGCTGCCATTGCTGTCAATCTCTGCTGAGGAACAAGAAAGCACTGCTGAGGAAACCAAGAAGAGTAAGCATGTGATGAGGAAGCTTGAGAAGCGCGAAGAGGATAACAAACTTGAATCTCAAGTTGAAGACAAATATGGTGGTTATGGTTACGGCTATGGTATGCCGTTAAATCAGAATTCGAGCACGTATGATGTTGTTGCAGATACTATTCCTGGTGCATCTTGACAAGGGTTGGCATAACAGACGGATTAAAGCATATATCGACGATTACCAATGGCTATCTAATATGGACTATCAGATCTTTGTAAGAATCCGGTTGATTGGTTCTCGGCCGGATTGGTCTCAACCGGATTGGTTGATGAGAACAATATCTTTGAATGGAGTGTTACGATTATTGGACCTTCTGATACTCTTTATGAAGGGGAATTTTTCAATGCCATCACGAGTTTTCCGCCTAATTACCCAAATAGCCCTCCAACAGTGAAATTTACAACAGAGATTTGGAACCCGAACGTTTATCCTGAAGGGCTTGTTTGTATTTCAATTCTTCATCCTCCGAATAGATCCAAATGGCTATGAGCTTGCACGTGAATGTTGGATGCCAATCCATACATTTGAAAGTATTTTATTGAATATTATATCAATGCTTTCCAACCCCAATGATGAATCTCCTGCAAATGTTGAAGCTGTTGTAAGTGATTGTTGAATTTATTTATTAATTTAATCCTTTTTCGTTTTATTATGGGTTTTTTGAGTTCGTTGATTCATTTATTTATTTCCCTTTTTATTCGATGTTTTCTATTCTATCCTTTAACGTATCTTTGAATTTTTTTTAGTAGTAATTCCAATTGATCAAAGGCAATTTGAATCGGCTTTTTAAATTTTGATCTAAATTTTAATTTTCGCGATTAAGACAACCGATAAATTAATTGGTACCGAAAGGGTGGTTCAAGGGTGCTAATCATTCCTTGACCGTAACCGACTACCGAACCCAATACATTTTTGGTAAAACGCAGATCAGGTAAAATGGTGTCCGTTCTACCTAAATATTTTTAAAACGATTGGTGGCGACTCCAAACCATTTTCCTAAGTCGAAGCCCAATTTCGGGTCTACCCAAAAGGCAGCCGCGACAGCTTGGCGACTCTGCTGGGGACAGATAAGTGAGTCAGACCGAAATTAATTTTCGGTTGTCTTTTTAGTGAAAATAGTAAATTTTAATTTTAATTTATTTATTCGATTCAAATTATTTACCTTTGATTCTTTTTCAAGTAAATAGTTGTACTGGCGTTTTTTTCAATGATTTCATATTTTCAAAGTTTTCATCTCAGGTTCTATACCTGAGCTCTGAACCCTATTTAAGTGGGGGTGAAAGCGACGTATTCATGTGAATTTATTCACCGTACGGGCCTAGCAAGTAGCCTTCGGGATTCATATACTTTATGTCTTCGTGTGAATTTATTCACAGTGCGGGCATAAGGAAATGTTTCTTCTCGAGTTTAACTTAGTCCACATAAGCTTGTAATGGGCTTAGGACTAAGGGTCTGGCAAGCCCAAGGGGCACCAGCGAGGAGAACTCGAGTACCTTTTAGAACCAAAACCGGGAGATTACATGGAATTAGAGCCCACCCAAAACCTCATTTCAAACCCTAGGTTGCTTTGATATTATTTCCTGCCTTATTTTCTATTCAAAGCATATGAACTAGAAATTTATGCGGTTAGGACTTGTTCAAAATCAACTTGTGGGGTAGAGAACATGTCCGGGTAAAAATAATAAGCATGTGGGGTAGATATCATGTGGGATAGGACTTTTATTTCCATGATTGTTTTTTATTATTTTCACCTCACTGACTCTTTTTATTTTTGTTATCTTTTATTTTATTTTTTGCATCTTTCATTCAAAAGAGGTGTTGATCCACCAAAAACGTGTTTGTTAAACGTAAATAATTCATATTAATGGACAAAGGGGTTATAATACAAGAGATGAAAATCTTAGAAGTCCAGCTATGGCCAAAGAATACTCAGGATGGATCGAGATTTACACTATGCACACCCAAAGTCGACTTTTTGAGTTGGCAAAAATTTACTGGGGCAAGACGAGAAAAGGTTATTGACCTGGAGAGTCCCTTCAGTGACAATATGCCACTATTGACAAATTCAAGAAGCAAGCTTTGGATAGTTCGTATCGATTGAGGACTCCAATGGCACATTCATTAGGAACAGGCTCAGCAGAGAGTGAAAGCCGGAGATGTAGTCCTTCGAGACTTTTTTAGGACAAGCAGCTCGTAACTTGTACAGTTTAGCCAAAGGAGTCGGAATGGTTCGACAAGATATTCAATCGGTGACAAAAAAATACAGAAGACGAATCAACTTGTCAGAGGTTGTTCGAGATCTAGGCTATCAAAATGTTTTTCGCTTCTTCAGACGTAACACGTTTTCCCCCAATAAAGATTATTTATAATAACAGACATATTTTTTGGATCAATGCCTCGAACATTGCATGCATTATGCATTTAAACATATTTTGCATTTTGTTATTTTCATTTTTTTTACATTGTCACTATTTTTCTCTTTTTATTACATTCACATGTCTCATCAAAAATAGGAACATTTCGATCATATTCCCATAACTTACAAGGAACCTTACCAACAACTTTTTGACACTCACGTAGTGTCGCAATACCTGGTAGAACCCATGAAGCCCCATACCCCAGGCGGTATGATGAGAACTCTTATTGCGAATATCATGGTGGTGTCCCAGGGCACATTATCAAGAATTAGTCCACATTCATTGTGCAGAAGATGCGTAACAAGGATTGGGTCGACTTCAGCAACTCGGGGGTATCTAAATAAGGAAGAAGATCATTTCATCATTTAAGGCATTTTGTTTGAGTTTGTTTTTTTCATTTTTTTCTCAAGTTTTTTTAAGGACATTTGATGTTACTTTAAAGATGCTAAGCATTGAATCAAATTTACAACTTGAAATTCTTTGAATATCAGTTGAATTAAAAAACTCTGTAAATGATTCAGAGTTAATATTTGACAAAATAACAAAACAAGGACTTTGCCCCGAAAGGCCCGAACACCATACCTTTCCCTTACAAGAACCGATATAGCCTTCTCCTCTCATAAAAGGAATGAAAAAGAGGCTTGGCATTTAGATGTGCATAGGTGCAGACAACATGGGGTATCTTTTTCATATAACATTACTATACTTTTTATTTAAGACGTTCAGTGATGATAATGATCTTCACAGATGGAATAGTCGAGTAAGCAAATCTAGTTTAGGTCAGTTGTTTGGAAGTTGAACTCAAAATATGAGATTCCTTGACTTTCAACAACATATAGACTATAACAGGTTCTTCTTGACAAACTTAAGAAGTTGGATCCGTATACCCAAATTATAATATTATATATATACAATAAAGCTTGAACTGTCCCTCTAGAGCAATTGATTAAACGCCCTGGCTTTATGGATAAGATTTGGCTAGCCTGATAAAGGTTATTATAATATTTATACAATAAAGCTTGAGTTGTCCATCTAAGGCAATTGGTTAAACACCCCGGCTTTATGGATAAGATTCAGCTAACCTTATAAAGGTATTTATATATTGAGTTGTCCCTCTAGAGCAATTGGTTAAACGCCCTGGCTTTATGGATTCAGCTAGCCAGACAATGGCAATCTTAAATAAAGGGTTTCGATAAAAATGGACTAAGGGAGTTGAGGAACACCTGTTATAGTCAAATTCACACGAGCACTTAGGAATTTCATTTTTAGACCGATATTTCTGCATTATCTTTGTTAGAGAAGCTTACAAAACTTGAACAAATAGAATATTTCAGAGAACCGAAATAGAAGGTCTAGTAATTGATAATGTTAGTTACATGATTTTGTCCGCATCCAATTAAAATGCCAAGCCAAAGAAAAAACATGTTGCAATAATCGAAAAATGACATTTTTATGGCTAAAACCGTAGGTCAACCTAAAGCCAACTCATCCACTTGAATATTTGTCAAAGAGCTATAACTCTGGAAGTATTAAAAGAGCTATTGATTCATTTGATATTCTTTGAACTCATGTTTATGATTTGATTCGATTGCAAGCCTGGATTATGGGGAAATGTTTTACATGAATTCTTACATTTTTATATCTTTTTTTTCTTCCCCCTAAAATAAGAAAAATAAGAAAAACATTTTCAAACAGGACAATCTCAAATGTGAAAGGTTCTGGAAGCTGTTAAGGCTCATTTTGCCTCTCTTGAAGAAAGAACGAACAATGCCAAATTTTGAGCATTTCAAAAGACAATCAGTCTGAGATATCAGATAAAACTTGTGACATTACCAATAACATGAGAAGAAAATGGGGCATGGTCGATTCCAAGGACAAGACCAGCAGACAAAAATGAGGCTCCATCCAAGGGATAAAACAGAATTAATTCATGTTGCATGCTTCTTATACATACTTAAGAGCATCGCATTTATCATTTTTAGCATACATAATTTTTTGCAGCTTTTTTAGTCAAGTTTCAACTTCAAGACGAAAGATACTTGATTCAAAATCATATTCAAAAGTTGATGGCGGGTTCTCGACCTCACATTGAAGGGGTGTCTGTCTGATGATAAAACAACTTTTCGAGTCTCGTTCAGAGTCAATTTCAACTTCACAGCGAAGGATATAGAACTCGAAGCGACACAATTTGTTTGAAATTGGATTTCAACTCCACGAAAGAGGATATCCAACTCAAAACCAACTTTCTCAAGATTGGATTTCAACTTCATGACGAAGGATATCCAATTCAAAGATCAACTTCACGGCGAAGGGGCTTTCCATTTTCATTCAGAGCCAATTTCAACTTCACAGCGAAGGATATTGGACTCGAAACAATACATGCAAGCTTGGATTCAACTTCACGACGAAGGACATTCAAGTAAGGCTCAACTTCATAACGAATGGGCCATCCATGGTTTCAACTTCACGACGAAGGGAATCATGCTCACCAGCAACATTCATCTTTAGATTGAATTTCAACTTAACGATGAAGGATATCCAATTTAAGGCTCAACTTCACAACGAAAGGGACCATCCACGGTTTCAACTTCATGACGAAGGGAATCGTGCTCACTAGCAATATTCATCTTTAGATTGGATTTCAACTTCACGACAAATGATATCCAATTCAAGGCTCAACTTCACAACGAATGGGTCATGCACGGTTTCAACTTCACGACGAAGGGAATCGTGCTCACCAGCAACATTCATCTTAGGATTGGATTTCAACTTCACGACGAAGTATATCTAATTCAAGGCTCAACTTCACAACGAATGGGTCATTCACGATTTGAACTTCACGAAGGAGGATATTGTGCCCAAATGATCGACTAAATGTCACAGTAACCGTATCACCCTTAGACGACCAAACCTTTTCATAACTTATGAGCAATTTTGTCCCCAAATCAAATCAGAAAAAGGAGAACCGAACAAAAATGGGTTGTCTTTTTTCATCTTTGCCATATCCTTGTTAACACAAGAATGTGGAAAGAGGGACAACTGTAGACACCCACTTTTGTCTGAGTTTTAAAA